AAGAAGCTTGCTCTCAACGCTCAGCCAGGGCAAGCCAGCAACCCACAGCAGGACTTGAAATTAGCTGTTCTCAAAAGAGAGTCTGAGGAGCACCAGCCCAGAGGGACCTCTGTGGGGAAAAGGCGGTCTGCAGTCAGACTTAGCAGTGCTGCCTACTCTCTTCTGGAGTTGGAGATTCTCAAAGTTTGTTAGCATAATAAAGGCTCTGAAAAGGCCTGCAGCAAAGTAGCCCACTTAACCTTGATTAATCTAGCATTTTCTAAGATCATGGAACCCTTTCTAACATTTAACATCGCATGGAGTTCAAGAGAACATTTTAGAACACTTCTCGCTGCTTGTGAGGAATAGAAGTCAGGGTGATTTGAAAGGCACCTTGGGCTTCCCTGGTGGTTCACTGGGGAAGAACCCGCTTGCCAATGCAGGAGATGCAATCCTGATCCAGGAAGATGCCACAAGCTGCAGAGCAACCAAGCCCATGTGCCGCAACTATTGAGCCTCTGCTCTAGAACCTGGGAACCACAACTACCGAAGCCCACACATCCGAGAACTCACAACAAGAGAAGCCACCATAATGAGAAGCCTGTGCACTGCAACGGGAGAATAGCCCCCACTGTCTGAGACTCGAGAAAGGCCCACACAGCAATGAAGATCAGTACAACCAAATTAATTAATTAAAAAAAAAAAGAGCAACACCTCTCAGGCTCGAGACAGTGCTTGAGTTAGAGTTAAGCATTAGAAGCAGTGACAGGTATGAGGTGGGGCTGCTGGGAAAGTTACCTGTGCTGTCACTCCAAACGACATGCTAATTGTGTCTCTTAAATATAGCTAATTAACACCGATGTTCAAATGACTTTACAGAGTTACACTCTTGACAGAAAAAGCTCAGCAAAAAGGCTGATTCAGTGTCTCTCAGCTATGAATATGTTCAGAGGGAGAGAGATGCAAGCTAGGAGGCTCTGTCTAGGTTCTCCACCTAGAAGCTCACCTGCTTCCAAGTTACCCACAGGTGCAAAATGAGGACAAATGTCACAGTCCTCCTGGGAAAGGGACAATAGTCAGTTTTACCAGTGGAGTGGAAAGTAATTTTCTGAAAGTCTTATATTTGCATTTGTGATTTTCAAAACCATATTTTACCTCTTTCATATTAAAGTCTAGCAGTCTATTCAAAATATAATATCTGCACTCTCATTTTATTGTGTTAAACAATGCACTGGAACCCATTTGGCTCCAGAGGAAACTGAGGCCCACATTCAACAAGTGACTTTTCTAAGGTCACGCAGTAATAAAACTTGGATTAGAATCGGTATCTTATGACTCTTTGTCCTGTGGTTTTCCCACTGCCCCAAAGAAGAAGGTGCTGTTGGCCCTTTCAGGGCGATCCAAGTTTGTTTCTTACTCATTCAGTAAGGGTTTATTGATCCCCTACAATGAATAATCCAGGCTCTGTTTTGTTGGGGTTTTTTTTTCCAGGTTCTGTTTTAAGCACAGGACTATGGCAGTAAACAAATGAAGTCTCTGCCTTTGGAGAGCTTGCATTCTAGTGGGCAAGACAGATGACAAGCAAGTAAAAATGCACATATGGAATATGACATGGTTGGAAGTGCTCTGAAAAGAAATCAGGGTGAGGGATTAGAGAATGACGGGGACTTTCTGGAGAAGAATCTCTTGAGCAGAAACCTAAATGAAGTAGGAGAGTGGCCCATACAGAAGCCTGGGGATAGAGATCCAGGAGAGGAAATGGCAGGTGCAAAGGCCCTGAGGCAGAGTGTGTTGGCATATGTGAGGAACAGCCCCAAGGACACAAGGGAGATGGGGGGAGAAGACAGGTGAGAGGGGCAGGCAAGGGCCAAATCACAAAGGGCCTTGAGCAGAGAGTTTTAGCTTTTCCAGTGTATGTGAGGGAAGCTATGGGATCTAAATCACATTTTGACTCATTGCTCGGGACACTGTTTCATAACTGTGAGTCACACCGGGCAATCTGATTCATCCAGGAGCTGTCCTGGGATCTGTGATGGGAAGAACGGAAGGCTGGCCATGGGTTTCTACACACAGTGTCTGGAATTGCAGTTACATGTGGATGGATAAGAGGACCCCTCCCCCAACTCCTCAGGGCTCAAGAATGTTTCCACGTGAGCCCTGGCATGAGGAGAAGATGGAGGGGGTGGGAAACCACTCCAGAGAAGAAGTCATCCTTCTGCAGAAGGCGGCTGAGAAGTGTGAGGCACAAGTGAAAAGAGGCAGATCGGAGCCCTCTCACCCTCTTCAGGGCTCAGGGGTGGGACCGCCCAAGCAGGAGACGTGGATGCCCCTGCCAGCGTCTGCCCAGCACCCCCCTAGCCAACCAACCAGCCCTGCTTCAGCACCAGATCCTAGTTCATGCCTTGCCCCAAATCTGGGCCCTACTGTTCATTCTCTCAAAAATCTCAGCGGTACCTCCTCCCAGCATGCTGTGAGAGGATGAAAGGAGCAGCCCTGCCTAACAATTAACAGCAGCATTAATTCCTTCATCCCCTGCTACAGCCAGGTGTGACACCACCACAGTTGCACCATGAGTAACTCCTATGTATCTCACAAAAATCTTAAACTATCGGGCTTTTGATCATTATTTTGCAGACGAGGGAACTGAGGTTTGGAGAAGGTAAGTAACTTGCTGAGGTCACACAGCAAGTAAGGGACACATTCAGGACTGGTTACTAAAACAACACTTTTAGGTGTCCTTCTTTTACATCCTTTTGCCTTTTACAGCCTTTTGCTTTTCTCCTTTTTTTCCCCTCTTTTTTCTCTTTTAACAATTGGCAAAGTGTTTTCACACAAAGCCTCACCATAGGTTTCACTGCATTGAATAGCAGCGAAAAGGGGGACACACCTTTTCTTGTGTCTCCCCCTTCCTTTTCTTGTGTTAAAGCTCCTTCTAGATTGTGACCTGCTCTTGACCAATCTCTACCCGCCCCCCCCCACCAACACTTCACACAGCAGATCCTTGACAAATGTCTGAAGAATTAAAGTGTTGGAACTCTGGAACCAGACTGCCTAGGTTTATGTCATGACACGGCTGCTTATGAGCTGTGTGAGCTTTCATAAATTGCTTAACTTCTCTGTGCTTATGTTTCCTCATCAGTAATTCTGGTTAGGACTAGATGAGTTCCTGACACATGTAAATACCACTTGTTAAAAAAATTTTTTTTAAATAAATTCATTCTACACGGCTTCCCCGGTGGTCTAGTGGCTAAGAGTCTGCCTGCCAATGCAGGGGACACGAGTTTGATCCCTGGTCCCAGAAGATTCAACGTGCTATGGAGCAACTAAGCCAAAACTCCACAACTTTGAAGCCCACAAGCCTAGAGCCCATGCTTTGTAACAAGAAAAGCTGCCTCTGTGAGACGCCCACACACCACAACGAACAGTAGCCCCCGCTCACCATAACTGGAGAAAGTCGGAGCGCAGCAACAAAGACCCAGAGCAGCCAAAAATAAGTAAATAAATACATCTTTAAAAAAAACTTCAACCTACATTTCTCTTTTTTCCCTCGCTTTTTTCTTTCAACATAATGATAGTAACTAAAGCTTACAGAACATTTACACATGCCAGACTCCCACTGTAAGCACCTTATAGACCTCAATGCCAGGCTTGAATCTGCCTCACACCCTTGAACAAGCCACAGGTGGGGCGTCACTTAAATGGTCACCTGGTGGGGTCACCTGGTCACCTGGTGGGGAAGAGCGCTGGGATGAACATGGTGGTCATCTCACACAGAATCCAAGGACTACAGGATTCAGATGGAGGATGGCTTGGTTTGGGGTTCTAAACTTATAAGCAGGTCACAGATCTTTAGCTACAAAGAAAGGGCCATAAAAGTGGCCAGACAGCAAGCAGGACCTAAGGGCCCCACTTCAATATGCTCGTTTACCATATGACCCACTATATGCTATAAAACCAAGATTCAGCAACTGTAAACATTGGAGAGGACTCAAAGGTTTTGTATTAAACCTTCTAAAGCAAGCGTGAACACAGGCAGATCCCACCTTTGCCTGGGCCAGCATCTCATATGCAAATATGCTGCCTCAAGGGGTAAGAAAGAAGCAGGCTGGCAGGTCTTTTTTACGTTCCTGTACATAGTTACACTTGAAGGAGGAAATCATTTCCTGTTTCAGTGCACTTGGGAGTGAGGGGGTAGCAATGGACGGAGACAGGAGGGGTTTCTGGTGATGTTCAGCTTCTGGGAGCTGCTTCTGGGAGTGTGGTCAGCTTGGGAGTTGTGTGTGTATGCTTTCTGTATTTATATTGTACTTCAATAAAAGTTTTAAAAAGTGTACATTCTTTATTGCCACATCGCTGTTTGTGATGGGGAAACAATAGACACAACCCAACCCAAAAGCTCATAAAATAAATTATGTCACATCTGTATGATGGAGGACCATGAAGTCATTGCAAATAATGAGGCAGAGATACAGGAACTGATACAGAAAGATGTCACGATACAGTCCTAATCAAAAAAAGGAAGTTACAAAGTAGAAAGTATTATCTCATATTGGAAAATAAAATGGTTGAACCATGGAAATAGTCGATACTTAATAGTTGACCATTTTATATGGTTCAGTATATATATATACACATATATATGTGTGTGTGTGTTTATATGTACATACATGTACATATACATATTCAAATTGCATATAAGTATGTATATATATAAATGTATAAAATATAACCTGAAAAAATATTTTTAAATTGCCAACAAAGGGGGTAGACAAGATTTTTAGTATCTATGTTACATACTTCTATGTCTTTAATTTTTTATAATGAGTTATATTACCTTAGTGATCAGCAAAAACAATAATTATAACAATCACAAAGATAAAACTTTTTAAAAATACCAAACTCTTGTCCCTTAAAGGGATAGATCTGAGGAGTGAGCCAGGATTGGGCTGGTGTGAATTCTAAGGTAACTTCTGACCTGGAAATGCTAAGATTCCATCTGAACCCGAATGAAGTTCAGCCACTGGGCTTGAAGCAAACGTACCTGTAAAATTTTGGAGTAACTGATCACAATAAGCAGTCCTGGTACCAAGAAGTTGAAAATAGCAAATGACACATCCCAGGTGATTTCTCCGCCAATACTGGGCCAAACCAGTGTGCAAATTGGAATTTCCTACATACAAAAAGGAAGAGAAGGTCACTTAACGCGGGATTCTTATTTGGCCTTTAGCTCAAGCTCAGCTGAGGTTATCTGGCACTGCTACACTGCTGTGTTTTGATGACACACAACTGGTATGACAAGAAACCCTAGAATTCCTTCCACTGCCCACACAATCGCACTTACAAGTCATTTGCCTCAAACCCTCAGAATCACCATGATTATTATTCCCATTCTCCAGTGGAGGCACATGGGCCTCCGGATCCAAAGGCTGGGGAGACCGGGGCATGATTTTGGATCATGGCTCCATCACACACATCATGTCCAAAGGCATGATCCCGGATTCAGTGCTCTTTCTACTTCCTTGGACTGAGCTGCAAAGAGCCATTGAGGCTTCTCTTCCAAATCCTTCATTTTACAGGAGAAAAATCTGACCCCTGAAAGTTTACATAGATTGGAAGAGATGTGCTACACGCAAACATATAAAACCAGGAGCGAGGTTTCAGTATAGTCACACTGCTGAAGGCAGCACGGTCTCCATTAGGGCATTAAGTGTTCATTTGGGGGGTGTTCACATGTCTGAACTGTGTCAAGCTGCATCAAGGCAGCCATGGTTTACTCCAGAGCAGTGCTGGAGCCCAGACTTGGAACTCTGTGCTCGTGATCCTCTCCTGCAGGGAAGCACCCACCAGGCTTAGAGCGAAGGTGCGGCTGCAGCCATCAGTTAAAGACGTAAAACCACTGAGATAGGACGGAAGAGTGTGTAGGTTTGTGACCTCACTGCTATTGCTATCACTATGTTGTGTTGAATTCAAATGTTTGACACTAATTACAAACCCCAAAACCTGTTGGGAACTCACTGGATAGTTACTAAGAGCTGCTACAATAATTTCTTCCAACGAATAAATAGGTTAAGGAAAAGACTTCTATCTATCTATCCTCCCAAACACAAATCTCCAGCATCTGCTTGACTATAGGACAAAACTATTTAGAAAACAAGTGCCTTACACAATTTCAAACACATAAAACAGATTTTGAAGAACACATTCTCTGTAAAAAGACCACATTATTGATTTTTGGTGGACAGGGCATCTTAATCACTGTCCAAAAGCAGTATCATCAACCACAGCATCATTCACTCATTTGACCAATATTAATTGAATGCTATTCTAAGAAAAGGGTTTCCCTGGTGGCTCAGTGGTAAAGAAGCTGCCTGCAATGCAGGAGACACTGGTCCTCGAGTCAGGAAGATCCCCTGAAGAAGGAAATGGCAGCCCACTCCGGTGTTCTTGCCTGGGAAATCCCATGGACAGAGGAGCCTGGAGGGCTACAGTCTAAGGGATCACAAAGAGTTAGACATGATTTAGTGACTAAGGAACAACAACGGAGGCTAAACAAAGGCACAGAATTTTTATCATTTTCTAGTGTGTATCAAAATTGCGTGGTTGAACTCAAAATGCAATCAAATAATCACCCCTTTTCCTGTTCGGTATTCACAAAAAATAGTAATGTCTGAAATTCACTGAACATTTATTCTTGGCCAGGAAACACTTTACACACATTATCTTATTAAATGTTCAATACAGCCTTTTTTGAAGTGCATAGTCATTTTCCCCAAATACACAGAGGAGGGAACTAAGGCTTAGAAATATTCTCCCAAAATATTAGTCTAAAACACTAAAGATATAGTCCTTTTTAATCATCTCCAATGAGCTGGGTGGTTATAAGGATCTACCAAGAAAACTCTAAGGCAAGTCAGGCAGGGAAGAATGATTTATTTATATTTATGCCTCAAGGTGGGCTTCCCTGGTGGCTCAGATGGTAAAGAATCTGCCTGCCATGCAGGAGACCCGGGTTTGATACCTGGGTTGGGAAGATCCCCTGGAGAAGGAAATGGCAACTTACTCCAATATTCTTGCCTGGGAAGTCCCATGGACAGAGGAGCCTGGAGGGCTACAGTCCATGGGGTCGCAAAGAGTCGGACACGACTGAGTAACTAGCAATTCGTACCTTGAGATGGGGGTGCATTTGGGGTGAGACTGTTGCTTCCTTATCCTATTTGATTCAGATGGCTCGCAAATGCACTGGATATTCTAGAAACTTGTTATTCTATCCTCACCCCACTGTGCACACCTGATGGAAGAAAGTTTATTAGAGCTGTCTACATTTTGGTAATTGGAAAGAAATCTGTATCTCTCACGGATCTTCTGAATATTGGCAGTGCAGTGACCATGGTTCTTTGGGAAATCCACACAGCCTTTGCTTGTACTCAGACCTCCACCCACCAGGGACCCCTCATTCCGGGTACATCGGTGGGCAACACATATCAGCAGATATGCTGAAGCAGCAATCAGGAGAAACAGATTACAACCCTGAGTGGGACTTAATCTTTAACTCTTATGCTTGTGATGGGAAAACGTACAGAGAAACAGATGACCCCAGAACCATTTCTTTAAAACCCCCAAGAGACCCCAAACTCTTTCCAAAAACCCTCTCCAGAATGTCTGCCCTACTTTCTCCAGGCTTAAAAAGATCTTGTAGAAAAATGTGTAATGATAGAACAAGGTGTTCCCTCTAAATTAGGGAAAAAATATAGATCTTTAAATATGTCTGTATCAGCCTCATGTTGTTGAGGAAAATGTATAGGTGTGAATGTACAGGTATCTACCCACACACCCACACAAAGAAGCATAGAAAAGACTGGAAATCCAATTAAAAATAAAAAAGACCAAAAAAAGCCAAGTACACAGACACTTGATACAGGTCTGGTATATGTCAAGTATGTAAACCCCCATGATTCTAAATATTGAGAAATTTTCCTTCAGATTTTCTTGCACAAATGAGAACCAGGTAAATTTTAATATTTTGCTAATAATGATGCTCAGTGATTAGAAGGTTAAAGATCTTAAGAAATGCTCAGGAAAGACAGATAAAGGCTTCCCATCACTGAGTGACTCAGTGGGCATTTGTAGCACAATGATGCTTCTGTCATTTTCTTGTGCTCATTAAAAAAAGCTTGTAGGGAAAAAAAAAGACTGGAAAGATACACTCCAGAAAATTAACAGCGTCTATTTCTAGGTGGGACTCAAGTTATATTTACTCTTTTGACTTACGGAATTTTCTAAATTTTCTATAATGTGTTTATGTGACTCTTATAAGAGGGAAAAAATGGCAGTAAAAGTTTATTTTTAAGGGAAATGATGAGCAAATATGAAACACAAATTACCGTGATAGTTGAGAAACCTAAACAGCTATTTTTTTCAACAAACACAATGAAGCCAGGAAGACTCTCAAATTCCATGACACTGATGAAGATGCTCTTTGACTTTTTGATTTATGGCTCTCACTGCAGATAGGAGTGTGTAAGGAAGTAAGATAAGAACTCTGCCAGGCACCCTCATCCATGACCTAAGAGACAGTGAGGGTGGCTTGCATGAACTAAATGACTAATTACATATTCTCTAGAAAGCTTTATAGGGTATCATTGGTTAAACGCAGTATTTATCATCATTTCAAAAAAAAAAAAGAACAGGCACCAGGCCCACAGTCCAAGACCTAACATGGTGTTATAAGTTTGTTTCCGTGGGAAAGTCCATTCGACATAAGTCATTTTGCTTCTAGGTATTCTCATAGGCTGTAACTTGTAGAAGGAGTTTGGCAGTCAGTCAAATCTGGAAGGTTGGGGCGTGAGTATTAGAATATTCTCTGTAATTTTTCTGCACATTTAAAATGTTTTCTGATTTTAAGAAGGAAATTTGAAAAAAAAAAAAAAGCGCTGGGTCTACTTTCCTACTGAGCTACACAAGCGGAGCTGGCTCAGCTGGTGACGGTGTCCTGGAATCTATTTGTCCAACCACTCGCTGACTCAAGCCACCGTGTCTGAGCCACTGCGAGGCCACAGTGGGAATGGGCCAGGAGGCTGCGGTGCAGGCAGGGAGGGAACTTCAGTACAGAGCAGTGAACTAGAAGTACCCAGAGAGCTACAGGTGATGGGATTGTGGCGTGACCGAGAAAGCAGCATCCGGGAGGGGTAGTGTCAACTGGGCCTGTGAGGATGGGGCATTGGCCAAGAGAACGAGGAGGCTGGAGCTCCATGTCCCAACCAGAAAGGATGTAGATGGGAGGCCAGGTACAATGGTGTGAAGTATGCTTGGGGTGACCTGTATTCCCATCCCAATTTCCATTTCCCCCTGGCAGTCTCATCCACTTCCACAGTGGCTTTTTGCAGATGCTGCTGCCATCTACTCTTTCCAGCCCAGTCTTCTGCTGAACCCCAGACTGGCCTCCCCACCCCAAGAGCATCTCTATAGGATGCTTCACAGGCACACCTAGCATCCAGTGTCACACCCCAATGATTCCACCTCCTGCATCATAGACTCCAGGCACAGAGCCTCCGTTTTCCAAGCTGTCAGATACCTGAGAGCTGCCCTTCACCTTCTTCTTCTCTCTCCACTCAGAGGGAACTCTCAGGTTCTGCCTTAACAGCTATCCAACTCACCACAAGCTCTTTCTCACTGTCCCCCAAGACACAGTCATCTCTCACCTTGTAAGTCCCAATGCCCTAAAGGGTGTGTACCTGGCCCTTCTCTAGTTGGCTTCCACCAACCTTTCCAGCTCCATCTCATGCAAACATGTGGGCTGTTTCTTCTGCCTGTAATACCCCTCCAGTCCCCCGCATCACTCATGGCTTTCCAGGAAGACTCCCCTGAGAGTGGGGGACATCACATCTACAAGCATGTCTCAAGCGCCGACCCCTCCCCCCACCGGCTGACTCATCTGCAGAGGCCACCTGATTGCAGCTGTTTCCTGCCAGCTTCTCTAATGACTCTCCTGGAACACCATTGGGGACCCCTTTGGAAATAATTCTCCCTGCCCCACCTCTTCAAACAAGATGGAAGACCTCAAGGTTGTTTTAAGAAACTAGGCATCCTAGTTATATATCTCCACTCCTCTTAGCTTCCCAGCTAAGAAAGAACATACCCATGCAGGAAATGGACTTACTTTCCTGTATCTTAAAAGTATCCTTTAATATTAGCAAAGGTAAGCAAACTTGTCTCCCCAGTCAATCCACACGAAGTAGAGACACGATGGCATTATTGGCCTGAAATGAAATAGGGACAGGGCAGAGAGCAGTGCGACCAAGCACTCCTCCGGAAGCGTGAACTCACGGGAGAGGGTCCTGGAGGGACAGACAGATCCCGGCTAACTTCCAGTTCCATCCTTTGTTCATCCTGTGACTTTAGGCATCTTCTCCCTCAGAAAATAAACATGAGAACACCAACTCGTGGGGTTACTGTGAGGTTACTGAACTGTGCCAGGGTCTGAGACCAGAAGCTGGGTGACCTACATGCACCTCCTTGGAGAGAAGGACAGTGTCTTGGTCATGTGACTCATGGTGGGGACAGGAGGGAGGGGTGCTCAGTAAATGTTTGCAGAATAAATGGGCAGCACACTCTGACCAGGGTGGGCAGTCCTCCCTACCTGCCAATGAAGGTCATGCCCCACTGGGACCATAGCACATACAGAATCCTATTGGAATAGGCTGGGATGACCTGGCTGAGATGGCTAAGTTGCTAGGATGTGTCCACTCTCCTAAAATGGCAGTGTTTTTTTTTTTTGTTGTTGTTGGTGTTTTTTAAATGTCAGTCTTTTATTTTATAGCAATCAGAAGAATTATACTGTTTGAAAAATGTTTAAAATATTTATAACCAAAGATAAGGAAACTAATAACAGCTGGCAACTCTTGAGTGCTTAACTGTGTGTGTGCCAGGCGTTAGTTCATTTACTAAACATAGTCCCCACGATGTTAATAAGGGTAATATTGCTACTGTGCCCATTTTGCAAATGAGGAAAGTGAGGTATAAGAGAGATGAGACCACTTGCCTCTGTCTCCCAGCTCCCAAATGGCAGGGATGGGGTTCAAACTCAGATCATCCGACTCCAAAATCTGCATTCCTAATACCAAATTATCTATCATTTTCTAGAATGTCTACCATTTCTTCTAAGTTTGTGAGAGTCTAATCACCTTGACTGCTGGGTACCCACTGCCCAAATGGACAAAGGTTCCTGGGGAGTGGGTTTGACCAGGGGTGGAGCTCAGATAAGCAGAAAACTCTGAGAGACACTGTCTCCCTGGCCTGTTCTCCTGGAGGGGAGGGAGCCAGTCTGCGCCTGGATTTAGTTAGTTTTCTAAGCTGGTGGTTTGGGTAGGAAAATGTCCCCCATCCAAAACCTTCATATTTAGTGTCCAAGTGAGGAGGGGCAGGCAGAGCCAGGAAGTTGGGAGTAGAGGATTGAGAAAACAAGTCTTTGCTAATTTTAAATTTGAGTCTCAGTTCAGTCTAGACTAGATCCTTCTCTGTCTCTTTTTTTTAATTGCCCCCCTCCCTCCCCCCCACCCCAATTCTCATTCTTCTCAACTTATTCCTTTAACTGCAGAGCCTCAGTCGACCCACCTATAAAAAAAGACGTTTCCTACATGTTCAGGTCATAGCCCTTGAGGAACTAGGAGTTTTCTGTTTGTTGGGAGGTGTGGGTATGTGTGTGCTGGGGGTGTGGAGTAGGTAGGGAAAACAACAGAGGATGGAGGGCTGGAAAGGACTGTCCCAGGTTTTCATCACAAGTTCCACAAGTTCCACCTTGGGGAGCATGGCTCCCGCAGCCAGTTCACCTATCCCTAATCTTCTGGCCCACTCTCTCCCTCTCCAGGCGCTTAAGACCAAAGTGGTGTTTCTGCATTAAAATAATAAGAGGGGTCTGTGTGCCCAGCCCCAAAAGGGAATGAAGGAAGGTCACGCCAACACGAATCTCCACAGAGGCATCTTATGGTAAAACCCCTGCCATTCCAGAAGGGCTGTGGAGGGTCCAGCCTCCGCTGGTGCCATACCTGGGGTAAAATACAGAGTGGCAAGGCACGGAAGGTCCTGCTTCTTTGTGAAGGCCTTCTGACTCAAACAACCCCTGTGTCCACGTCAGCAAGCAGCTTTAGTCTGGGTTGCTGGCTGGGAGGTGGCAAGTGCCTCGTTTTTTAGTGTCATTTGCCGGTCAAGTAGGAGTGTACCTGAAATAGTACTCCCCCGCCCCCCCGCCGCCCCCCCAGGCGCCTTCCCGTGGGGCTCACAGACCTCTGTCCCTGGCCCTCCCCGAGAGGCGCACAGAATGTAACACCGGGATAACAGCCAGAATCGCGGGCCTCTGTCCAGGTCTGGTGTCCCGGCTGAATCTCCGCGCGCGCAAGCCCTGCCTGCAGTCGCGCCGCAGGACAGCAAGGAGAACAGACCTGCGCCCGCAATTACGGACCGTGGGACTGGAGCAGGCTCGAGCCAATGTCGTGAACAAAGCAAAAGCTTTGTTCGATCCCACAAAGATCCTAATGGCATCTCTGAAGTCACTCTTCATCCAAAGCTCCCAGGGTAAGATCCCACGGTCTAGTTTAAGCCTTCGTCTTGCAGTTAGAAAAACTGAGGCTTCAGAGCGGAAGTGACAACCCCCGTAGTGGCAGCACTAGGTCTGGGGTCTCGGGGTCTCCAAGGCCCTTTCTCTCTGGCCCATCCACACATGCCCGTGATTCTCAAAGCAAGACCCTCATTCACCTCGCAGGGAATCTGCTGAGCACGATCGCAGCTCCTCCTCGCACTAAGGGTGAGATACTGTGAGCAATTCACTCTCTGCGTACCTTGGCTTCCTCATCTGTAATTACGTGTGATAATAAGTACTGAGAGAAAGCAGAATTTACTATAATGTGATCAGTCATTCCAGGTCTCCCAAGTTCCGCCTGTCTAACCGTTAAGCCCCCGTTACTCCATTAACCTTGCAATAGTGCACTTTACAAGCATTTTGGGGACTCCACTCGCAACGTTTTGGAGGGCATTTAATGTAATCTACACCGTAGGGTCATAGTGAAATTTAACAGATAAAACTTAACAGTACCGAGCACGGTGACACAACTATTAAATGCAACAAATGGCCTGTTATTGTTTTGTTGTTTTTGTTAATGATCATCCCACATCACCGTCTCCGTGGCACCCCGCCTGCCAGCCCTTCCCGGACACCTGCCCGGCACGCACACCGCAGCGCTCACCTGGTCAGCGCCGGGTAACCGCTGCGGGAGGACGCGGAAGAAGATGCAGAGGGGCAGCGCCGCGATCGCCGAGTAGCCCCAGATCAAAGCGAGCAGCGCGGCCCGCGCCCGCCACCCCGGGCCCCGCGCGCCACGCTGCACGCGCAGGATGCACACCACGCGCTCCAAGCTGACTGCCGCCAGCGTGAAGATGGTGACGCTGCCGCTCAGGGTCATCATGTAAAAGAGCAGGTGGCAGGCAACCGGGCCCAGGAGCCAGGCCTCCGTCCAGCGCACGACCAGCACGAGCGGGATGGAGCTGGTGAAGAGCAGGTCCGCGCAGAAAAGATTGAGCACCAGGCTGGCGGTGGTGCCGCGGCGCCGTCGGCGCGCTACCACCACCAAGGCGCACACGTTGCCCAGCAGCGACACCACAAAGATGAGTGCCAGCACCACGGTCTCCACGGCGTTCAGCACTAGCCGGTGGTCGCCCTTGACATCGGAGAAGAACGGGAAACGGGTGCGGTTGGCCCGCTCCAGGCTGCGCACGGGCGCAGTGCCCGCCGCCTGCGCGCACTCAGGGGACATGCCGGGCACCCCGCGGCCCGCAGCCTTCTGCGAGCGGGCTCATCTGGGAGGTGACTGAATGCCAAGGCGGGGAAAGAGGGAGGGAGAGGGTTGCGACATCTCCCCTCTGGCCCCCTCCCGCCTGAGCAGCGCCGGAGCTGGGCGTTGCAAGCTAAGCCTGGGGCGCGCGGGAACGAGGAAGTGCCAGCGACGCCGGCTGGAAATACCAGGCTGTGATGGAGGCGGCAGTCTAGGTAGAGGACGCCCTCGGCCGAAGTAGGGGCACCCGAGTGGCCCGGAAGCCCCACCTAGTGAACCCCCAGAAACCCCACAAAGCCTCCCCAGCCCCTTTCATCCGCCAGGGGCACCAGGAGGACAACCTTAATCCACTGTTCTAGTTAAAATTGATTTAGGAGTGCTTGAGCTGGATTCTGGAGACCATTCTGTCCTGTGCTTTTCAGGCTTCGCCAGAGAAGTCTCACAGGTCTGGGAATAAATCCCAAAGCAGCTTGCAATGGGTCCAGATCTTTTTGTGGGGGTGGGGAGGAGTCATTTATCATTGCTAAGTAACATGTGACTGGGTAGGTTAGTTCATCTCTCGCCCTAGTTTTTTAAAATCTATAAATGGAGATAATAATATCCCATTAGGTAATTATATCACAGAAAGTTATACTTGGCACACAGTAATTGCTCCTGAAACGTTATCAATTATCAATTCCCATAATTAAAATCCAGGTAAATTCTTCATTCTGAACAAAGATATAAAATACTTTCATGTAAAAAGAGTGGGGACCAAAGATATATTGAATAAATTTGGCACCCAGGAAAGACAGTCACTCCAAGTGCACATACAGGTGGTGAGTGTGCCTCTGGCACCCCAATTTGACAAACACTAAACAAACCAGTCCCCTTACAGATGAAGAAACTGAGGAACAGCACAAAGTGACTTGTCCAGGGACTTCCCCAGTAGTCTAGTTGTTAAGACCCCGAGCTCCTAAAGCAGGGGGCACAGGTTCAATCCCTGGTTGGGGAATTAAGATCCTACAGGCCATGTGGTGCAGCCACCAAAAAAAAAAGTGACTTGTCCAGAGGGGCACCTGGTTAGTAATAAAGCCCCTGACCCAGACGTTTCTGTCACACCCCTGTTGTCTAGTTTTCTGTTATAGTAAATTAGACAGAGAATGAAAGTGTGCTTGTGGCCCTAGACCCAGTGACCACTTCCCTGCCAGACACAGTCCCACCACCCCCACATCCTCACTCTCTTCCCCATTGCCATACTACCAGGCCCATCCATCTTGTAATCATCTGTGTATTTATTAAGTATTTGGTACACTAGCATAAAGTGGTGGGGAGGAGGGGGAGAGGGCAGTCATATCTGTGTTTGCTTATCATTGTGGCGTTTGGGGTCTGACAATGTGGCCTCTAAACTGAAGGGCAGATTGCATGTCAGTGGGAATGTTCAACTTGAACCTGGACTAAATTCAGGTAGTAAAAGGGAAGCAGTTTGCTTTCTGACACAGACCAAAAAGGGCAAGAGATTGAAGTAAAGGGAACTCGAGTGGGATTTGGTAACTGTCTGATTGGGGCCACAGTGTATTAGTTTCTGTGGAAGGGAAAGGAGAACTCTGTGTGTGTGTGTGTGTGTGTGTGTGTGTGTGTGTGTGTGTGTGTGAGCACATTCTCGATGCACAGCATGGAGACAGGAAGAGATTTTTCCCAGAGTGGCCAACAAGAGTGCAGTCTCTGCACTAGAAAGCCTCCTCCATCTTTACCCTCCTGAGTTCTCTCAGTGGCAAAATGCATCTTGCCAGCACAGAGGTTCCGGACTTTCACATCATCTTCATGGCATTCACTGGCCAAAAGAAAAACCCAACAGTTTTGTTTATTAAGCAGCTGGGTCCAAGTGACTTAATAAGACTTTATGTCCTAACAACTTAGTAGCTGTCTGGGAAAATAATAAACATGAATTAAAAAATAAAAGTTTTCTCTTCTTTCTCAAATAATGACTTCCTAACAGAATGGGTGACCCTATTGAGTTCTACAAAGCTGGGAATCAGATGGAAGGCTGCCACTCTCATCTCTTGCTCCACATTGATCTGAATCTATCTGCTTTCCATCACAGTAATCCCTAAAGACCCAGATTTGTCAATGAGTTTGATGTTGAAACTGAACAACCCAGAGCTAGTAGTCCATGTGGAGTTCGGTGAATGTTGAGTAGTACTGTGTTTCCAGGACTCCCCAAGCACACATGGGCAGTGGTTAAGAACACAAGCTTGAAAACTTGCTTGCTGGAACCAGAATCCTGACTCTGCTACTTACTGTGTGACCTTGGGCAAATTATTTTAGCTTTATTCCAAATGGCAGAATAAAAGTACCATCTTATAGGTTTGGGGGGAATCAAGTGAAGTTCCCACCTGTAATGCACTTAGCACAGTAGATGTTCACGGGACACTGGGTCAGGCTCTGCTCAACACTGTGTGTGGACTTACAGGCTGACCACACATCCCTGTTTGCTGGGACAGTCTCGGGTCATGAGATTATTATTAGAACCCTCTTCCAATATGAAATTGCTCTGATTTGGAAGATTAAGTATGTGGCAGCCCACTGTTACATTTTTTAACTCATTTAGTGCTCCTACGGGTTGCAGGCACTGGTATTTGAATCTAAGCAATCTGGTTGTCTGGTTCCAGGGCCCCTGCTCTTAACCACTAGAGCAGTGCTTCTTAACTGGGGCGAGGGCGGGAGGTAGGTTTTATGTGCGTGCAAGCACATGGCCACAGAGACATTTGGTAACGTCTGGAGACATTTTTTGCTTGTCACCCTAGGGGGTTGTTGTGGCATCCAGTGGGTAGGGGAGAGGCCAGGGCTGCTGCCAAACATCCTGCAGGGCACAGGACAGCCCTGCAGCAAAGACTTGTCTAGCCCCAAGGACCGACGGCGCTGAGGCTGAGAAACCCTGGGCCAGAGGCTGCGTCCTCTTGAGGCCTCGGCACACTCTACTGCTTACTGTTGGCTTCCGTTGTGAAGTCCCACCTTGCAGCAAAAGCCAGAATTGTGATTCTTTTCCTGGTAGGAGCTTCATCATGAACTCTAACCCCTTTCACCAGCCCACTGGTGAGGCTCAACTTTGTGCTGTGGCCTCAGGTGTCCACAGCTGCAAAACCCCCTTGTTCTGGGGGGCCAGGTACAGAGTCCCCCCGGCACACTGACAGCACCTATTCCTCATAGACAAGATGGTAGGAAACCACAGAGAGGTGAGCCCTGGTTGTGACAGCTGTATTCACTGCTGAGGGTCACTGTTAGCATCGTGTTTCTTTCCTTCTTCCTCTCTTAGATAAAATGGTAGGAATGGAGATGAGGATCCACCAAATATAAATATGGGTGGTCTAGTTTCTGAAATAAATGGAAGGTCAAATTGAGGGGTGACTCCTGTGCCTATTTATATTTTTAACCAAACAAGAGGTGGGGACTTTTTATGTGTGGGGGTTTTCTTAATTTTCCTCTGGAAAAACTTTATAAGGTTTGCATGAAAATGCTTTCTGGCTGCAGTTTCCTCCCCAAACTTCTCCATAGCCAGTCTGTGTATCATCTCTTTATCTATAGACCTATGTCTATCAGGTTTGAAACATAAGTTCTTGCAAAGTCCAGAATATCTCCTTGCACAATTAGGATCTATTCTGGAGCAGAAGGCAAAGGGCACTTATTCCTGTGTAGAGATTTAAGGTCTACCTCCTGCCTCTGATCCTCCCATCTTACCAAGGTGTTTAGACTGCAGGCCCCATTGCCCTGAGCATTCACAGCTGAGTAACCACCCCAGCCAGGCTGGTAGGGTGCAGGGAAGGCCACCTCATGCTACTTCTTCAAGGAGGCCCATGAGTTCCCAAGCAGCCAGGGCATCGAGTGGCCTTTGGGTACATGCAAAGTGGAGGACGTGACAGCCACACCATTCCAAGTAAATATTAAGAGCTTTCACGTGCCTAGGGCCTGTAATCACCCCTGTCCATGTCATACCTATTAGCCAAAACAGAGAAGCCCAAGTAGAATGTGGAAGATGAAAAGCTAAGTCCAAGTGAGACAAGTGATCAGCACCTGGTCATGAAGTATTTGCATACTAAAGGCCCAGGGCAGGCATCTGTCAACCAGACCTGGTGGCCCAACCACAACAAATGCATGCCATGCTGTAGCAAAATTAGAAAAGTGAGCAGACACTAGGAAGAGGCAAGGTGGATACAGCCAAGGCTCGGAGCTCAGGGAGGAGGGCCTGGCTGGGTTTCGGCCACCATATACACCCCTCGGGGTGTCCTCGGCAGGGAACAGCCTGGTGGTTTGCAGGCTTGTGCTGGAAGCGCTCGTCTCCCTGACTCTCCCACTTGGTGGTGGTCTCTGCTTCGGCCCTCAGAGCTGCCCCCCCACACCTATCACACTGGGGGCGCTGACTGGACGGGAGTGTGTCCCATCAAGCCCACCAGTTGCCTGGGGGCTGTGATCGAGCTCACCGTTGCAGGAATCTCGCCTGAGCAGAGGAAGAGAGGAGAGTAGGGGCCAGCCTTGTAGCAACTGTGAGGACTGAGACGGATAACGAGGGGCTGGCGCTGGCCTGACCTCTGTTGTTGGAGACCTAGTGTGACGACACTTGGTTTCCTGAGGCAAACGAAGAGGGTGAGGCCAGTCATGAGGAAGCCACTGCTTCCTGAGGGCGTCTTAGGAGCCAACAACTCCAGGAGGGGTCAGCCTCACCTCTGAGGTAACTTTGAGGAGAAAGGACAGTGAGGAGCAGGGGGCGGAGCTGGGGGTCGGGGGAGGACCGGGGACAATAATAATAACAGAAGCAGTAACGATATTAAGAGCAATCAACACATATGTACACATGGGGACTACCATGACCCAGGCACTGTTTTAAGCACTTATTTGTATTAAGCCATTTAATCTTCATAACAATTCTGTGAGGTAGTGTGGTGTTTATAAAATATGGCTGCAAATTTTTTGACACTCCTCCCTTCAAAAAGTGGAACCTAGTTCTT